CATGATTCAGTCAGTCTCCACAACTCTTCAAGTGGTGAATCCACATATTGCATGCCAGAAAATGTATCATGCAGACCCCCGAATTCTGTGGAACTCATTTCTCCTGATGGAGACTACGATTACGACCAAGATGATTATGAAGATGGTGCTATTACTTCTGGTAGCAGCGTGACCTTCTCTAATTCACACAGTAGCCAGTGGTCCCCTGACTACCGATGCTCAGTGGGGACATACAATAGCTCTGGAGCATACAGATTTAGTTCTGAAGGAGCTCAGTCTTCTGTGAGTATCTTTGTTTTTGTTATCTAATAATTGGCAGAAGTTTTCTGATTTTTTTTTTTCCTTGAAAATGATGAGAGTTAACTCTAGTCACTGTCACTGTTCCTATAAATGTCTGTGTTGGATAAGGTTAGACGTCCTTACACTGCACTGGGACGTAGTTATCTGTTGCCGTCTAGATGACACTGGGGTGAGTGCGTTATAGTTTGCAGTCAGCATTTGAGCTGGTTCTGTCTTAGTTTTACCAGACTCTGCTCGTGCAAGTAGATTGTTCCATCTGTTTCAATGCAGAGCTGCACATTAATTTTGCAAGGACCTCTGTGTATGGCCTCAGATGCAATTCATAAGCAAAATTCTTTTGCTTGTGTATTTGCAGAGAGGGGCATGGTGGGAGAAATGATTTCAGGAAAAGTGTATTTGTTTGTTCCAACATGCAAGTTGGAACAGTACTGAACAAGCTGCCTGCAGAAATCCCTGAAATGCCAGATGTATATTGATATTATTTGAGAACAAATTTCACATGATGGCAAATGTGGGATTCTTGAAATGGCATTCTGGAGACGCACATTCATCTTGAAGAGCTCTTCTTCAGTGATGTTTACTGAACATACTGTGAGCTTTACTCTTACAAATATTTTTGCAAGAATATGATTTGCTCTACCACCTCAGAATACTTCTACGAGACTGTATGATTGGGTAAAGGAAAAATGGTATTTCAGCAACACTGACTTATTTCTAAGGAAAATGATAACAATAAAATGTCCGTTACAGTTGAGGTAATGAAATCCAGTCAAAGAGCTATCTTGATTTAGCTGTCATGGTCCTTGGGATGAGCTGACGATTCTTGCCTCTGAAGAGAACAGTTTTAATTTTCTACATTGAGGACTCCGATGTGTTTCATGGAGGGAGGTGTGGGTGTGGGGGGGTGTGAAATAGAACAGAAACTCAGCTAACCTCTGATTCTTTGGGGTGAGGGTGGATGGAAGCTGACTGCTACCACAGGTTGTGGAATATGTTTTCTTTTCAAGAGTCATCTAAACTGTTACCCACGGTACTTCAGTGGTGGAGGGAGATAGCAAAAGAGGGAATACCCCAGTCAGGCTCTTGCAAATAGATAACTTCCCTGAGCAGCTACAAAGCTGCCTCATAGATTTGTTATATGAAATTAGGGCTAGTGTGTAATCAAAGAGGACAGGCTGCAAAATGCTGATGCATAACTCTCAATTTTTAACTTTGACCAGTGACTCATTCCACTTACTACAGCATATTCCACTTAGTGAGGTGGACAGAACACAGCTGGGAATCGTGTTCTTTAGAATACATCATAAAAAGTTTTGGCTAAAGCTTGTAAACCTATTTTTTCTACGTTCTTTCCTGAAAGATCGTTTCACCTTTGTTCCTTTCTTCTGTAGTTTGAAGACAGTGAAGAAGATTTTGACTCCAGGTTTGATACAGATGATGAACTTTCCTACCGGAGGGATTCAGTCTATAGCTGTGTCAGCCTGCCCTACTTCCACAGTTTTCTGTACATGAAAGGTACTGGGTGAATCAGAATTGGCTGAAGTTACAAAATAACCAGAAATGTTTAGTACATCTTGCACTCCAGTTACTGTAGAATTAAGGTATTTTCTGAATTTTCAAATGGCAATAGGAAAGTCTGGAGAGAGGTGCTTTCGAATAAAGTTACTTGCATTGACCTACATCTGCCAGTGTTTTTATCCTCTGCAAAGAAACATTAACATTTTTAGTCTGCCTCTGTTTCATATTACGTCTTTGCTGGCTCATAAACAATGGAGTATCCAGTACAAATAGAGCAGAATAACTCCCAAAGTCCCATTGTAGCAAATTTTGAGGAAAGCTGCTTCCTGTCCCAAAACACCTGCAACATAGGCAGCATTCTGTATTGCTGGCCGGTTTTACTGACCTTGGTAGACTTTCAGTGGGATCTGAAAGATTGGAAGAGCCCCTGTAATAGCGTAGGGGCACGAAAGTCTCTGAAAGAATATACACGGGTGTTGTCTGGTTACAGTTCTTGGTTTTACCTTTGATGATTGGTACTATTGTATAATCTAGGCGAGTTCTTGTATGCTACCCATCATGGCAGCATAACTTAACTTTGATTTTCATGGAATTGGAACAGTGATGAATGGGTGCATAGGTATGTTTGTGTGAAAAATAATATTTGCGGTCGTCACTAGTATGCCTTTTACCCTCTGATAAGGCTAGCAGTAAGTTTTGGCAGAATGACTGGAGTAAAATCGTTTGGCTAAGGTTTTTATGATGGATGTAACTATAGTAGAAGCTATGTTATCTACCATTACAAACCTCACGTGAAGTTAAACAGTATAGGCACTTTGGTATGACTGAATTCACACAAGTTTATTTTCTGCTCTACGTATAGGTTTTTAGGTTTTTGTGGTTTTGAGTTTGCCTCTTAGTAACCACCAGTATTTAAGAAAATTAGAAAGAGAAAAGGGTTGAACGCTTACTAACTTCTCTTAGATTGTCATTGAGATGTATTGAAAATAGTGTTGAAGATCTGGTTTTCGTTTGCAGTAAAGCTATTTTATAATTTAAGGGTCTTTAGATTGTAAACAATATGGTGGTCTTCAGAATATGTGAAAATGAGATCTGTGGTTTCATGGCTTACAGCAGAGACTCAGATTAATTGCAGCATTATTGATCAATGTCTTCCAGTCTTGGTTTGGTAACTGCTTCTGTTTTATAATATAATTGTCTGTCTTAACTGCTTATAAACCAGCATCTGTCTCTTTTGCCAGGTGGCTTAATAAACACTTGGAAGCGACGCTGGTGTGTCCTGAAAGATGAGACCTTTCTGTGGTTTCGTTCCAAGCAAGAAGCACTTAAGCAGGGTTGGCTTCACAAAAAGGGGGGTGGATCATCTACGCTTTCCAGAAGGAACTGGAAGAAACGATGGTTTGTTCTCAGACAGTCCAGGTTGATGTACTTTGAAAATGACAGTGAAGAAAAGCTAAAGGGCGCCATTGATGTCCGAACAGCCAAGTAGGTTTAATATGTGTTTATATGTGTCATAGTTCTTCCTAAATGCTTCTTGGGGCTTAATCTGGCGACATGTTGAGTGCCCTGACTTCAAATTGTATGTGTGCAAGCATGTGCATATGTGTGACAAAGATCTTGAAAGTAAGCGTTGTCTTTACTTGGCTCTCTCTTAAATCCACAGAGTGCGCAAAGTTAAGCTAGTGTTGACTACTTGGGAAAATGGCAGCTCTAATGAACCCATCTAGGCTTTCTCCCAGACTGGAGGTCCCACTTAGCCTGTAATGATCCCCAAGGCAAATTGGGGCATGCTGCCAACTCTGTAGCCATAGGCAAAGCTAGAATGGAGAGGGTGGAATTAATAGGCCATGAATATATTTTTGCTAACATAGGTCAGAGCTTCTATCTTCTATATTCATTTATGATTTCTTTACATCTTTGACGTAGTTGTGGTACAGAACTGTGGTACAGTTTGACAGAAAAGTCTTTAATGCACATATTCATTTCAAAAATTTAGAATTAGTAAACGTAATTTAACAATTTATGTCTTGCCAGCAAAGTTCCTTATGCCTTATAATTTTAAGCTTCTTCGGGCATGCATCAAAAAAAAGTTTTTTAAGGGATAGTACTTTTCCTTTTAAACAGTCAGTACATTTTGTGAATTTGTGGATTATCTAACAAAAATCAGAGCGTGCTACTGTTGGTCGTCTCATTTCTGCATAAAAGTGTACCTAAGCTATTTTCCATGGTTCTGGTAGAGAAAAGTAGGAATGTCTGTAACACTCACTTTCACTCTGCTCCTTGTAAACTGCAACTATCCATTTTATTTTATTAATTTAACAGAGTATTTAACTTAAATTGAAAACGTAGATTAATTTTTTTCATTTGGAAGTCTTTGAACCTGATTCAAGCAGAAAAAAGTAAATAGTTTTAGTGAGCATCCCGACTTGCTCTTGTAAAAGCAATGGGCAGCTGGCTGTCAAGTAAATCTGTATAGACTGCAGTTCCTACCACAAATTTCTTGTTGCAGCTGAATTTGACTGTCTCATGTGATGTAGCATTTATTAAATTTTTTTTCTAATTTATTTAAACCTTTTTTATTGTCACCATATAGTTTCATTGACTGTGCCCTGGAGATTTTTTTTGTTGAACTTAACTTCAAAATTGTCATGCAAAGGTTCTTGAACTTACCTTGAACTGTAAGTTCGATCAATGAGTATTTGTACGTAAAATTACTAGAAGAAAGCCTACTTGTATTTAAAGTGTTGTACATTGTGAGAAATGAGCAATAGCTTTTCTAGGTAACTTTAATATTCACTGAGCACGCTCCTAACATATAATATCATATGGCTTACATACTTCACTACTCCATATTAGGGACCTTATTCAAATAAAGTAAATATTGTGCTGCTTCACTTAAAATTCACAACTGGGACGTACTTTGCAGACACTGGGAAGAAGGAAGCCAAATTAAATAAAAAGATGTGGAATTATATCTTTTTAGTAACAGATAAATAAAAATTTCATCATGAGGCTGATAAGCGGAGCTCACATATATTGTATATAGGAGAGACATTTATGAGAAGAGTATAACTGAGAAGGGAGTATAGCTGATTAAGAAGGAAGTAATAAGCCTCAGACAAATGCGGTAAAGCAGCAGAAAGAAAATCAAGTTGGTGTTTTAAGCTTAAGCAAAATCTTATCTTCCATTAGAAACTTCCAAATTTAACGTAATACTAATCAGGTTTTTTGGCGTTATTTTTTGTTCTTTAAGAGCTTTCCTTTCACCACTCCTAAAATTACATGGGTATTCAATGAGTTCATAAATAAATCGATCTCTCAGCTCTGGTCATCTTTGCCTCTTTCAAGGTTTGATAATGCATTTTCTTAGGTCTTGTTAAAACAGTAACAGAATAGTCAACTTTGAATAGTAACATTCATAACAGTTTGAATATTTATAATGTATAGGCAGAAAACACTAGCTTTGGTGAACTGATCACACTGTGCATCCTGCAAATGACCCTGCTTAATGTTGATTGCTTAAAAATGTCTTTTTTTAAGTACCAGTGGTTTGCGAGCCTCTCAGCCTCTCGTGGCATTTTCAAAATATGTTGATGATTTCTAATACTAAATCTTTGTGTTTATCTTGTTCGCAGAGAGATTGTTGATAATACAGGCAAAGAAAATGGTATTGATCTAATAATGGGTGATAGGACCTATCATTTGATTGCTGAGTCTCCTGAGGATGCAAGGTATGAAAATAATTAAGTTTTTTTTTTTTTTTTTTTTTAGCTTCCATGCCATTCTGACTCATGCTTATCATTTTATTTGCTCGTTATCACAAAATACTCCGGTTGAGTTAAGTGCTTTGTATTTAACACTTTTTTGAAAGGCCTGCTGAGAAAATAAACCTGTGGGAAGAGTCAAACTGTCAATGAAATATTGCCTAGAACTTGGCTGTGCGTGCTTTCCCCATTAATTACTAGTAACTATCTGAAATACAGTGTGTCTGTAGAGAAGCAATAATGCTGCCTTTCTTGTGCGTTACCATGTCTGTGTTTAGCTCCATAAAAGCTTAATTCAACATTTAAGACCCTGTCAGTTCTGAAATAAAGTATTATCTTTTAGGCTTGGGATGTTTGCCTAAGCAGAGCCTAAAATCTTTTCAGATAAAAGCTGTAACACGGTCACTGTATTTTAGGGTGAAAGCGTGTTCACGAATAAGAAGGGATTGCACCAGTGTTGCCTTTTTTTGCTGACTTAAAAGGGCCTTGCTTTTGTTTCTAAAGGATCCATATCAAACTTTAGGGGGAAATGACAAGGCTGGCAGGTGAGGAGCAAGCTTAACTTGTCAGATAGGTTGTAGTGTATCTTTAAAAAAAAAAAAAAAAAAAGCAAAATAAAACAAAAAACCCCACACTGCAGTTTCTGTGAGATAACAACATACTTGTCTATCATTTATAAAATCAAGTATTTAAGCAAAGTGAACTCAGTAATCAAATCTTATTACCCACTGCCTTGCTGCCCCAAGGCCGGAATACAGGATGCCTATGTCAAAATTGCTTGAGCTAATTTTGCTCTGGAGCCTTGAAAATTGCTTCATATTTTTACTTTTTTTAAATAGGTACAATACTTTCCTTTATCACAGGATACTGGGTATAAATTTAGCCGTGCTTACAATGCAGAATCATTACTTATTTTTAGGCATCCTTAAATTACACTTGAAATAAGTATGAACTTTCTAGCATTCATTATTAAGATTCCTGTGTGATGCGATTAAGTTTAAAAGTGAAGATTCAGTTAAAGTTTTGTTAAACTTCTGTACAAGCCCTGATAAAGGTTCCTCAGGGACCAGTAACAAATTACCAGTGTAAAGACGTTCATATCTGTTTTCCAGTATATATCTCTTAAGTTTTTTCCTAAATGTGGAGAGAAGTACATCGCTGTCATTGTCTATAGTACCCATAATACACACAATCCAGATTAAATTGCTTTTTACTGGTGTATTTCATGTTTTTTTTTTCACAGTCATCCTGGAAAACTTTAATGTGTGTGGGAGATGTGTAAGGATTTGCAGACGGGCTTAAGTCAAAGCCTCATAACTGTTCAGTATTGTTAAAAAATGAAGTACAAAATTATGGGACTGTGTTGGTTTGTTCTAGACCTGCTACTGAGACCATCTGTCCTTTTACAGTTACTGAAGTACTGACCTAAAGATGTCTTTTCCCTTTAAAAACTTATTTTGCACAGGGGCTGGGAATGATCTGAGTTTCCATCAAATGAAGGGGAAAAGAAACCTGAAAAAAAAAATATTTTGATCATGGAAGTCTATTTGAAGAAAGACATAACATTTTAATGGGCAGCCATTCTTATGGGTTTACTTCTTTCAACCCCAAGTCTGTCTTTTTCCATATTCCTGGGTTCTAGGACTCAACTGAAAGTCAAGGGCAGTCCTGAGAGAGAAGAAAACAAAGGGAGGCTAAAATCTGCCTTGTCTTCTGCAGAGTGCCACGCTGAATTTCTTTTTCATTGTTTACACAAAGATTACATGAAATTAGGAAAACTCTGCACTGGTTTTTAAAAGCCAGTTATAAATTATTAATAGCTGTGCTTGTAGTGCTGTGAAGTTTTTTGTTTTCTTTTTTTTAATAAAAGATTGACTTTTAAATAGGCTTGCAATTCATGATCCCAAAAGGAAAGTTGAATTTAATCTGTGGGAATCTTTTGGTAGTTGAGGTCTAGGTTCTTCAGCTCACTGTTTCCTCTGTCTAGATATCCCTCCCTCATTTGGAAGGGTTTTCAGTGATTTTGTCTTATGTCAGTAGTCCTTCCAGCAAAGTGTCACGCACAACCTGTCTGTAGATATGTCTCAAGTCTTAACAAAGAGCTTTTCTGAGAGGAAAAAATCAAAACTAAGTAGATGATCATGGTAGATATGTATTATCTATCTAGATAATACCTATCTAGGTAGATAGGTATCAGTAGATTATCAAGATCTTTATGGTTATTTCTAATGGAAACATAAGCTGTTAGGAAGGATTTAAGATGACATGGAAGCAGTGGTACTGCTTGACTGACTACGCAGGTTTTCTCTAGCTATTTTGACAGCCCGGTTTCCAGATATCTACAGTTATGGAGAGCAGCTGCTTTCCAGATGCTGGAGTTCAGGAGGCAGCAAGTTAGTTTGATAGGCATGAATTCTGTGACTACAAGCACTTGCAGAAGAGAGAGCTTTATGTTTAAAGCCAGTAATTTTGCATTTGTTTTCCCACTGGTAGTGGCAGGAACCTTCTGCAGAGAAGTAAGGAGACAGTTTTAAAGGCTGGGCTTTTAAGACCTTTGAAAACTTGGCCCCAGGTGGTTTTAATGAGAATGGCAAATTCATATCTCAAAGAATGGCATCCAAGAACCAGCCAAACAGGCCAAGCTCTGCCTTCAAATTTCAGTAGGATTGCTTAGAGCAGTTGAACTTTAGCATATACAAGTGCCAGGAGGGCAGAGATTTCCCAGAAGCAGAAGGTGTGGTTGGAATTAAAATCTGCAATTACTGCTCAGCACTAGGTGTTGGAATACTGGAAACTTGACTGCCAATCTCCTGGTAGAAATACAAGGCCACTGGAGTGGCGCAAATTGACTCTGGTCTTTCCAGCAGCTGGACGTTCCAGTGTTTCACTGGGAACAAAAAATGTAGAGGTAGTAGCTTGGGGTTTTTATTCTTTTTTCCCCTCTCAATTGGGCTTCTACAGAAGATTTGATGGACTTTTTTGGCAGCCTTTGCAGAAGTATCATGGTAGGAAACCATTGGCAGTCGCATCATCAGTTCAGCAGAATTTATCATTTGAAGATTGAGAGTCTCATTAAAGGCTTTGTGTGTAGCTAGTGATGTATGTTTTTGGATGACATGGGTAGAATGTGTTACAGATACTTCCTAAGCATTCAGGTGTTTCCGTGTGATTACTGCCAGTTTTTTCAAAGGTGCCACTTTTTTATACAAGGCATTTGTCTTCAGACGGAAGGGTATGACATGAACTTGGAGGGGAGATCTGAGGGGGCTTGTTAGTATCCAGTATTACTTGAACTGACATAAAGCCTTGCTGCTTTTATGCATGTTGACAACAGGAATCTTAAGCAATTTCAAAAACCTGAAGAACCTGCTAGGTCTCTGCAGAACAAAGGTGACAAAAGGCTTGTGCGCAAGCAACATTTTACTTACACTGCTGCCTTTCCCTCCACAGCCAGTGGTTTAGTGTACTGAGTCAAGTCCATGCGTCCACAGAGCAAGAGATCCGAGAGATGCACGATGAGCAGGCAAATCCACAGAATGCCGTGGTAAGTCTAGAGCTGAAGAACTTTCCAAAGCAAACATTTTTAGAAAACAAGGGACACACTGTGGTGGCTGCAGGACTTGATATCTTCTGAAAATCACAACCTAGATTTCCTTGAGTGCACTGGTAGCTGTGACACTGGCTACAGGCTGCAGTAGCCTTGTACATACAGAAGAGGAGGGACAGAATTCTTATTCCCTCTTGCATTCACCTTAACAAAAAGTGTGTGTGTTGGGTTCATTTTTTTCTGGTCCAGTCCTCTGTCGAACCACAGTGTACACTTGAGTTTGAAGTCTTGCAAAGATACAGTTAATGAGTAAATTAAAAACCCAAGAGCAAAAAGTTGAGATTTTTCCAGCCCTGTGCTTATCATGTTATACAGCATGCACTGGGAATAATATGATAGGTGTAAAACCTACTATCAAGCAAAGGGAAATAAAAATTTCTGCTTAATGACTTCATAAGTTTGTTCTGAGAGGATGCTATTTACAATGAGATGGCACTTTCAGGTCAAAACTTCAAGCAGGTGTGGAAACAGAGAAAAATAAGAGCAATTTTTGAGCTGCCTCCAACTTAACTAAAGATATAATCTCTTATTGAATCTGTTCATCTAAGTCTTTTACTTTTCCTCTCTGTAGTTTTAATGGTTAGGAGAAAAGCGATGCCCGAATCTGCAGCTCATTTTGTGTAATCAAAGTTGCTACTCCTTTCACCTATCTCTGAGCAGTGTACAGTGAGTAATGTAAATGTCTTCCTCCTTCTCTGATTTGATATTTGTTTATAGGGTACACTTGACGTAGGATTAATTGATTCTGTCTGTGCTGCTGACAATCCAGATAGGTAAGTCAGAACCATGTCTGGTAAATTCCTTTCTTCTTCTCCTCTCTCTAGCCAAAATGAGATGCTTTATACTTTAGTCTCCATATTCTACTGACCAACCACGCGTGAAAATGGTTCGTTATTGCCTCCCTTTTGATAGTACCAAACGCCATGTTTTAAAACAGGAGAAGTGGGAATTTTGTGCTTTTTCTGTGGGGGCTTCACTAACCTCCCTGACATTGCTCCATATATGCACTGTTCAGCAATTTTGCTTCTACAGTGATCCAAAGGTTGAAGATAAGTATGTCTTTTGCTTATGCAAGTAATGCTTCTGAAAAGAGAAGCCTATTTTCAGTTCAATTTACAACAGGGTAGGCAGAAAATTCCTTTTAACGTTTTGCTATTCATCGTCTTGTGCAGGAAGGTTGTATTGTACTAAGGTAGTGAGTTGGATGAAAATTATTTCCTAGAATGAGAATGGTTTAGGGAGGGGACGGGGGGTTTATAACAAACATGACTGCAGCATCACAAATCTGGTCATTATATTCTTAGTTCTTGAACTAAGAGAGAAAAAGTAATCTGGGTTCAGGCTATGACTCTAGTTATAAGGTTACTAGCTATCAAGTATTATTTGTATTGTACTAGTTCATTCCAGTCTCCTCATTGAAAATGTGTGAAACAACTGGTTTTAAGTGATTGGCTTTTCTTGGTTTACCAAAGTCCAGATCCTGTAAGTAATTGTGATTATAAGCCTAGGCTTCCTAAACAGTACAACACAAAACGTGCAAAGCCTTCAAAATATTACGTTAGAAAGACTTTTCTTGCGAAAGCATTTTTCACATAGAGTTTTTTTCTTGTACGTTTGCCAATTTCTTTAATTCTCTGAGTCTAGGAATGTAAATCAGAGATGGAAGGTTTTTCAACTGTTAGCAGTTAAGAAATGAAGATAATCTGTCTGATGTAGGCAATAGAATATTTTTGTCTTGACACATACAGACCCACAACTGCAAGCTCAAAAGAGAGGCTGAGTTGAGACCCTTTGATTCTGTATTCATAAAGAATCCCAAGAACGGTCTTACATCATTTTCTTAAACTGGGGAGGAGGAAAGGGAGCCCAGAAGGCTGGATACTTTTGATCATAACCTGTTGTTCGATAGCTTGTTCAGCCTTAGTTTTTACCCTAGCGGTGTTCTTTCTCATCATAAGCTACAGCTTATCTGTAACATCTCTTTTGGATACCATATTTATCCAGCTTTCTATAGTGTGCTGCACTTAATTCAGTCTACTGGTCCCTTCTCTTCACACTGGTTTTAAAATATAGTCAACAGAATTCTTCAGTTCACATCTCCACCTGTTTCCTCCTCCACCACTCTTCCTGAATAATTTAACACTTTCTCCAATGTGCATGTGACCAAAACTCTGATCACTCCTTTACCCTTTTGTGGCGCTGATCAGCACAACAGTAGATAAATCTTTTCCTCTCCCTCTGTAAAAGGTATCCAAAAAAGATGCTGCTGCTTGCTTTTTCTCTGTATTCACCTCATTAGAACTTACTTGCATGCTTCACATCTGTGACTTAGCTTACCGTAACCCCCCTTCACCATGTATTCTAATTTTACCTCCTAATCATTTTATTTAATGTTTTTTTTTATCCCATTCTCAATCTGGCTTTTAAATGGCACAATGCTGTTTTTAGAGAATGGTAACATTTGTGGGTGAACATCTCCATCCCCATAAACAACTTTTTTTGACTGGTTCCAAATTCCACCCAACTGCTTTCTTGTTAGGACTGTACAGTGGCGACCTATGAGCTTCTTGTCCACGGGGCAGCCTGGACTGCATTCTTCCCGTTTGCTACGTCTGATACAGTTCTTTAAAAGTTTGTGTGTTCCAGGATGAAAACACTGATGGTTAAAGGGTTAAAGCACGTGGTTTGTAGACTGAAAAACCTGCCCCTCTAATCCAGAGTGCTATCAACACAGTTCACTTGGGCTAATTCCTCATGCTTCAGTGAATCCTGGTGTAGGACTGGGTGAAAGCCAGACTCTCATTAAAAATAGATTGTACTGTCTGCGAATTGAGTTGCACTGCCTTCAAATAAAAGGATCTGTGTTCACATACTGCTTCATTATGGACCTTTGTAAATTGTAGTTGGTTTTAGCTAATGTAACTACTGAAGCAGATACTTTAAATAAAACTGACCCCAAAATACAGTTTTGATTCATACCCAAAGCTGATTAAAGACTGGAGGTTTTTCTCACCATGGTTTTATTTTGAGATAGGACAAATTGCAATTTAACATAAACTTTCCCACCATTTGGAGCCCTAGAATTTTGGTGCGATTCCAAAGTTATTAAGTCTTTTCAAATGCTCAAAGTTTTTAGGTTTAGTGGTGTTGAAATAAATGGTTTAGAGGTGGACAGTATTTGTCTGAATAGAAAATGCAAACAATGGATACTGTTTATGCTTATGGCAAGCAAGGTAAACAGTACATATTTTTATTGTAGAGGCTTTTTCAATCTTCATTTGTTTTCATAGACCCAATTCATTTGTGATCATCACTGCTAATCGTGTTCTTCACTGTAATGCTGACACTCCTGAAGAGATGCATCACTGGATAACCCTACTGCAAAGGTCAAAGGGGGACACCAGAGTGGAGGGACAAGAATTCATTGTGAGAGGTAAGAACTGAGTGAAATAGTACCAAAGTAAATAAGATCCATTTACCTGGAAAGAGGTTGTTCCCAAATTACAGTCTGTGAAACAAGCTAGTATAGCGTGGCAGTGTTGGGTCCTCACCTTGTACCGTGCAGTTTACTCGTAACTAAGTACGTCTGAAATTATGGTCATACTGTGCTATGTAAGAAGCCACTGTAATGATCACAAAAGTTTTTTTGTATATTGACAAAACAAATTTTCTGGGTAAACAACAATGTTGCAAATTTGTCAGACAAATTTTATGTAATACTTTAAACATTTCATTATTTGAAAATTTTCCTCCAAGTTGTTTAATATGTGGGCTGAACAATTCACATCATATTTTCGTTGTAAAAAGTATACAACTAACTTTTAGCAAAATAATTTTGTCCAACTCTGTAAAATAAAGTGTGATTCAAATTGTCTTTAACAGGATGGCTACACAAGGAAGTAAAAAACAACCCAAAGATGTCTTCGTTAAAACTAAAGAAGCGTTGGTTTGTTTTGACGCACAATTCTTTGGATTACTACAAGAGTTCCGAGAAGAATGCTTTGAAACTGGGTACGCTGGTCTTAAACAGCCTCTGCTCTGTGGTCCCACCTGATGAAAAAATCTTCAAAGAGACAGGTAATTGTTTGCGTTTGTTCGAATATGCTTTCAGTTGCCTTCTGTCCTACCTATTTATGCAACGAACAATGCATTAAAGTATTTTAAATGGAGTACTAAGGTGGCAGTTTGACCGAATTGTGCTCCTAAGTCACTGAGGCGTTATACAGGGACAAACTAGGCAAAAGACAGCAGTAATAACGTATAGAGTGGTAAAACTTGTTCTTACCAACATTCACGTTATCTCAGACTGACACTTGTGCTAAGTTATCTTGAATACTCATGCGTACACATCAAAGGTGTGGGAAAGGCATATGGGTAGTGCTTTTTTCATACGTTACTTCGTGTTGAGGAGCTCTGAAGACTAACATTGATGGAGCAAATAGAAGAAGATCTAGGGTAAGAGTCCAGTTTGTGCTCACCTATATACTACATCTGAGTCAGCTCCCTAGTACAATTTCAGAACTGGTTTTCAGCTCTGATGTGGCTATTTGCAAATGAGAAGTGATGGCTGACTGTCCTGTGTAACCTCATTGGGGTCACTGACACTTCGAAGAGGTTTTTGACAGTGAAAGATTAAATAGATTTTCCTTAGTTGAAACTGCTTCATAAAAAAGCCTATGCAACGATGTAGAGAGAAAAGCTGAAATGAAATGCTCTTCCTTTCATAGTTGCCGCTTCATTTGTGTGAAATTAATCACTTTTTTACAGAACAGGTAGCTTGTGCTTTATATCTGTTTGTATAAGTGCCACAGATGCTGTAAGACTCTCGCGTGTAACACAAGACTGTCCTTTTACAGACAGGACTGGAAAAGTAGGGCCTGCAAACTGCATATAGCTAACAGTACTCCATAGTGTTGTCCTCTGATCACTTTTACTATCATCACTGGATAAAGCGGAGTGCTACATGTTGGTGGCCGTATTCTGACATTACCCTTCTGCATTCATTCTCTCCTTTACAATCATAGTCTGTTTTAGGATAATTAATTACTGGTACAACTTCTTAGTTCCTTTAAAACAAAACAAAACAAAAAAAAAAACAAAAAAAACACCTGCCTGCAGGTCCTAGAATTCAGCAGTCAAGGTCTGATGAGACTACACCTGATTTTAGCTAGAAGTTGTGATATTTTTATAGGATATACCTTTTACGATGAATAATTTTTACTGTTGTGCTAGGCTACTGGAATGTAACTGTATATGGACGCAAACACTGTTACCGTCTCTACACAAAGTTGCTTAATGAGGCTACCCGTTGGTCAAGTGCCGTCCAGAATGTGATTGACACAAAAGCACCAATTGACACACCGACCCAGCAACTTATTCAGGATATTAAGGTAGGAACAAGCCAGAGGTGGATGGGAAAGAAGGGTTATTAGATACTTGAAACCAGTCTTTTTTATGTTCCCTTTGTCAGGAGAAAACGTACGTTTTAATCACACAGTGACGTGCACTGAAATTGCAGACCCTGAATATAGTCGTTCACCTGCTAAAGGAATTTCTATTTAAACAGTCTAAGAGCAAAATGTAAAGTGTAACTTGAGGGATAACTTTTTTCCTTTAAGCTTTACTGGTTTGTTGAATTTAACAGATGCTGCTCTACCAGGCAGTAGACTGCAGTGTGGAGATTTCCAGGTTAGCAGACCTGGTTGGCTATGTCCACAGTAAGCAGTGTACCAGGAGGTGGACTAGCCAGGTCCTGTGATGTTTTTTCACTTTGCTTCATATCTTGCTCTAAAATAGTGTGGCCTAAGCATTTCATGCCTCTGAGTGATGGTAAACATACCCAATTAATGCTTACTGCTTTATGGTCCTGTTGGAGATACTGTGTACACAGCCAGCCAGGTCTTTCTGAAGATTTCTGCTAGTCCCCCTTCAGGATGACTCTTAGGAGAGCCCAAAAAGGGGGGAAGGGTACTAAGCTACTAAGTTTCTCCTACAGTTGGTCCTCCCTCTTCCCCCATGGAAAAGACATATCAAATCCTACACTTCAAAAATATGAAGACTGTTCTTTAGTACAGTAGAAAATGTGGGGAGGTTCAGAAGTGAAAGAAAAGAGTTCTCACACATCTGTCAGACTTCGACTAAGAACAGCGTTCAGCTGTCAGAGGCAGAGTGGGTGCATCAGCTTTGCAGCAGCTGTTTTTCAGACTATTTTGTTATGGTAATTCCTTTAGATGTAACTGAAAAGGCTGATTAGTTATGCTGGAGAAACATTTTTAAAGAAAATTTCTATCAAGACAGCTGTCTAATTACAGTTATGAAAGACTGGAATAAAAACAATTGCAGAATGAAAACGCATTTCAAAATGTTTTATGAAACCGTATTTTTGTCCCCTGCAGCTCTGCTGTGTTTTTTTACTGCATAGATAAGGTAAGCGTGTGTAAGGCCTGAGGTTAGCAGCCACTGAGCATTCACAGCGTGCAGAGTGCCATGGGAGCCACAGTACCCATAACTGGATTTACCACCAGACAGTGTTGTTAACACTAAAGAATAATTTTTCCACAGCCAACTTACAGGCACTAAGTGTTGTATTAGTGTTAATGCAGGGCCCCAGATTAAGCTTTTTTTCTTACCTCAACAGGAAAACTGCCTAAATGCTGATGTGGTTGAACAAATTTATAAAAGAAACCCTATTCTCCGTTACACTCATCATCCGTTGCACTCGCCGTTACTGCCACTGCCGTACGGGGACATCAATCTAAACTGTAAGTTTTTCAGTTACAGAAACAAACACTTTTCCCTATAATAGACTGAACCGTAGGACAGGAGTTTTCAGTCCATGTGCCATAGTGCAGGACCAGTAGGCGAAATGTATATTTTTATATAAAATATATTTTATATTTTTTTAAATGTATATTTTTATAATAAACAAGTCTCAGTTCCCTTATGAAAGGGAGAGAATAGCAGTGTATCTAGCACAGAACCATGAGCTGCTGTTGCTTCTACATGGGTGGTAAGGAAAGGACGGTTGCTATTGCTGCTGGAATACAAGCTTGTTACGCTCACCCCCGATGCAGCTAAGCAGACAGGTTTGAAATAAGCAACAAAACCCAGTTCATTCAGTCTCCTGGAACAACATATTCCCCTTCTCACATAACTGTTGCTTCCTACCCTATCAGGGTACAACTGATACTGCCACAACTTCCAATTCACAACTGTAAGTTTCATCATATGTGGTGGGAAGCGTTACATATATTAAAAAAAAAAAAAAAAAAAAAAAATTAAAAAAAAAAATTTTTAAAAAGATGCACTACTGAAACAGGTGTAATAGTGATTGAGCAAAGGATGTTAAAAGGCACTAAGCTAGAAGCGTGTTTTGAACCAATGGTTCAGAGCTGGTTGTGAATTTGGTTTCTTTAAATTAATATGCTTCTGTTATTTTGAAACTGCTTACTAAACAAGAGATGATTCAGAGCAGAAGTCTCATCCATGGGAGGACAGTGGGAAGTCATGGATGATTAAAAGCTAAGATAGTTTGGGTAAGACGTCTTAATAACTCAAACGATACCCTGCTGCTATCGGGACGAGGGAAAGGAAAATGCTAGAAGAAACCTTTTCCTTCTCTTCCCCAACTTCCTCCTGCCCAGTGGCAAGGCACAGTTCTGTTCTTCTCATTACTTGAGCTGGCTGTCCCATGCACGAGTGCAGCATAGGTGCTCTGTATGCCCCATGGACAGAAAAGGCAGAAGTCTTGCCAAGGTCTTCTCATATGAAATGTTGCTCCACAGAAGGGCTAATGCTGGGCTATTGCCTTGAGTTGCAGTTGAATGCCAGTTATTTTCAGTAATATTATAATGTCAGGTTTTAAACTTTTTATTCATAATCAGATACGTATGTATGGTTTTATGCTTTGATGGTAGTAGGCCTAATTGACTCAGACATCAGAGCAATCTCCTCCGTCCCTTGCACCTCAGCACTGTGTGGTGCTTCTAAGTGGATTGTGAAAGTCCTTAGCCCACGCTGAATAAACTGTAGGGCAAAAAACAATCGCCTGCTTTTCCTGCACTTAAAAAGGAAGTTGCAGTTATCGTGACAAAGATTTAGTTTAGTAGCACTGTTTGGGTTTAATCAAAATGCTGCTGTCATAGACAAAACCGATGTCCTACATTTTTGCCACTTTCTATAACACAGTCATGCTTTATCTCACTAACAACCTGATCAGCTTTTCACTTCTTTGTGACAGTGAAGAAGTGATAGATACTTCAACAGTGTAGCTCACTCTGGAATGAAGCTTTTCCATCAAAAAACGCTGATCAAGTAAGATATGCATTTGAAATTATGTTGTCAGAAACTTCAAAATGGGCTTTCATTAAATTCAAAAGAAACCTCAATAGCAAAATAGCTCATAGAACAAGCTTGTTTCATAGATATGAAATGGAAAAGATCCATCTACTCTCCTGACAATTTCACTAAGTAATTTTTACGTTAAGCCTGAGTTAGTGTTTTCTCTTCCATATCTCAGTCTAAACACCCTTCTCTTTTTTTTTTTTTTTTCTTTTGTAGTGCTGAAAGACAAGGGCTACACAACTCTGCAGGACGAAGCCATCAAGATATTCAATTCTTTACAGCAGCTAGAGTCTATGTCTGACCCCATCCCTATAATTCAAGGAATCCTCCAAACCGGGCATGATTTACGACCACTTCGAGATGAGCTCTACTGTCAACTCATCAAGCAGACCAATAAAGTACCTAACCCTGGGAGTGCGGGGAACCTGTATAGCTGGCAGATACTCACCTGCATGAGTTGCACATTTCTGCCCAGTCGCAGCATCCTCAAATATCTCAAGTTCCATCTCAAAAGGTGAGAAGCTTTAAACTGCTTGAGCATGACAAAAAGTTCCTTCACTCACTGCTTCCCTCTTCCCCCTCCATTTAAGAGTGTTCAGACATCTTGAGGTGAGACGTGAAGATACATTCCACTTAGTGAACTGGTTCTGCCAAATGATGAATCTAAAAAAAAAAGTTACAAGAAAGCAGTGTATGAGTTGATCTAGGTGGAATTATTTTCAGTTGGAGAATCAAGCGAAGTCCCACTAAACGGAAGGCACTGTTTAACACTGACAAAAGCGTGGCTTTCGGTAACTGTAAAAAGTTGCTTAAATGACTTACAGCCAGTACCTGCAGGTCCTACTCCTAATTGTCCAGTTAAAAATTCTTCATCCTGTTTACTTTAGTTTCATGAAGTATGCATCATGCACATAAAAGAACATAATGATGTTTATATTTAAGGTAAAAATGTCTGCTTGCAAATCTAATTTTAATACGTTAATGACTATTTTAAAAAAAAAAGCAAAACTCATTTGTGACAGTTGAGCATTAACTACAATGTGGAGTTCCTCTTGCTCTCCTGCATCAGAAGAACGCAAAGTGTGTGTCATTAGAAAAGTTAGTCCATTAAAAACAAACCATTCTCAATAATTCAAAAGTCAAGTCTGTATTTGTGCTAATACACAGACTTGGTAAGTCACTTTATTAAATCTGAACTATTCTATACAACTATTCTGTAAATATCTGTAAAAGGCATGTATTGAAGCTATACCTTTCAACCGAAGTAAATTTAGTGAAAAACATCAATCACTTAGTATCCAAGTATGTACAATTAAAACAATCTAAGATGGATTCACTTTCTCAATTTAACTCAGTCCATAAAATAGCCTCCCACTTAAGAAAACTGCAGTTACCTGATGTAGCATTTATAGGTGGTTTCAATATTACGCACAGCCATCCTACAGCTGTATATATATATTGCTGTAATCCTGCAGTAATCCTTTTATGCCTTATAGATCAGGAATCACTGTGTTCTTTCACATGTTCATGAATTAAACCTCGGTATCTCTAAAAAGTTGGTATTTTATCTTTGGAAATACTGTGGAAACATGCCGTACTGAGAGCTACCCAAATTCAAAAGTTTGCAACACTCAGAGCTGCGTTCATTAAAACTGTTACTGAATACTCTTAAGAGTAACTGCTGAACGGTACGGTCTAGAGAGAATCCGTAAGAAAATCAGGAATAGAAACCAAGCATCCTAAGTGCCACTGCTGCAGAAGCGGGTAGTCAAAAATCTGTTTCATTGCTTAGTTTTCTGTATTACCTCAATGCAATTTTGTCTTCATTCAACAATTATTGACAAGCAAGGGAATTGATTACAGTAACCTTACGGTTATCTTGCTGTCAAGTCTGAATCATTGCAACGTTTCTTGCTCTGCATTGGGTTTGTAGAACAAAACGATTAACGTATATAAGTTATCCCACAGAAAAGCACGCTTTAGGACACTTTCAGTGTCGATTGACAGTGTTGACAGTGACGATTAACCTTTGACTGTGTCAATTAAATAGCATACTGGATACAGAAATACCTTATCACTTTAAGGAAGAAGTAATACGTAAATTTTCTACTTCACAGACTGGCAACTTAAAGTAATAGTATTTGTCTCACAGGGTTCGTGACCAGTTTCCAGGAACTGAAATGGAGAAATACGCACTTTTTACTTATGAATCTCTCAAAAAAACCAAATGCAGAGAGTTTGTGCCGTCACGGGATGAAATAGAAGCTCTGATCAGCAGGCAGGAAATGACGTCGACAGTTTATTGTCATGGTGGTGGCTCCTGTAAGATTACAATCAACTCGCACACTACAGCTGGAGAGGTAGGAAGTGGTGACAAAACAACTTTGGCACAAAATCAGTTGGTGTTTCTCTTTATGTGAAAGCTGCAGACAGTAGGAGTGTTAAACTCTGGAAAGACAGCGGATTTCTAGTTGCCAATTGAGGTCCAGTTGAGAGTTCACCACCTCTCCTTTTCAGTCCCTCCTCTCCCCAGTGTTTTAGAGAAATCTCTGCTATGAAAACTGTCTTTACGCCGCAGAGGATTACCCAACTCCAGTCCTCTCTTACAGGAAAAATTACTGGAAGGACTGAGCAACGCAATAGTGGCAGTGCCGAAATAATTTCGGTACGTGTTGGTGTGTATGAGAGCCAAGTTGCTTCCTAAGGCTGGAGGACTAGCTGAGTTGGTGAAATACAGGGATTATATCTGGCCAAGTGGTAGCACAGATATATATTCTAAAAGAATCAGTAGTGTTTAGGATAAAAATTAAAGCTGTATTTGAGAACAATGAATACAGCTGCTAAGAACATCTTAGCAACGTTTTTATTCTAATGTAAAACCTAGTTTCTAATGTTCTCCTAAATATGTGCCTTACCTCTGTGATACTACCTTTTCATGCTATGGGTTTGTTGATGTGTTGCTTTTCATTAGGTGGTTGAAAAGTTAATTCGTGGCTTGGCCATGGAGGATAGCAGAAATATGTTCGCTCTGTTTGAATACAATGGAACTACTGATAAAGCAATAGAAAGCAGAACCATTGTGGCTGATGTCTTGGCAAAGTTTGAAAAGTGAGTATGCCTCTCTTTCTCTCTCCCTCCTCTAATAAGTAACAACTAAACATATTTCCAATGTCAATAACGCTGAATTTTCTCTTTCTAAGCCTTGTTTGTTTGTTGAATGACAGCACACGGACATTTCTGGAAAAAAACATCTTTTTTTTTTTTTTTTTTTTCCTTCTTAAAGGAATTAATGAGCTGCCTGTTCACTTGGGGTTGATTTTTTTTCTTCAGTCTCAATACTGGCAGGGCTACTACTTTTTTTTTTTTTCATCATTACTAGCACTGTGGCTGCCCCACTGCCAGGAGAACTGAACTCTTGGCAGTCATTGCTCTTCTGATCGCCTGTTGCATAACTTCATATGGACCTCACATGGAAGTCCCCACAGTACAGCTCAGAACATTTCTCTTACCAGTGGAATTGAAACCATCTAGTGCTGCAGTAAAAAAAAAACCCATAATACAAGCCTAAATACCTGGTTGTCGTCGTTATGTTACACACACGGCAACCAGCCTCCTTTATCCAAATAATGGAAAAACAAGGACCATCAAAAACGTTGTGCGATTATATTTTTTAACAGGATGTAAAACAAACTTTTTTGTTGTTTTTTTATCAACACCTGACTGACTGAGCCACAAACAAAAGTTTACTAGAGAATTTGGTTTAGAAACATTTGACTGAGAAACGACTTGAGTCAACACTTGTAATTCCTGGGTTTTCCTACAGGCTCTTAAGAAAAGAAAAAAATATCCAAGTCATATGAGTAAAGTATACTAATGAAAACAAGTAACTCCTGTCACTGATATCAGATTTATACCTGGTGTAACAACAAAAATTCAGCCAAGGCTGTGCTTAAGATTCTTTGGGTGTCAATTTAGAAAGGCATTCGATTATACAGATCTGATCTCTCCCTCTCTCTCCACACACACGCAGGCTTGCTGCTTCTGCTGAGGCTGGGGACATGCACTGGAAGTTTTACTTCAAGCTCTACTGCTTCCTGGACACAGAAAATGTCCCAAAAGACAGTGTGGAATTTGCCTTTATGTTTGAGCAGGTAAAAACCAAGGTTTTGTTTTGAAGAATTTTAAAAAGAGAGAAAAGGCGAGATATGTAGGCAACACAGGAAGATATTTTGTTATGTTTTTAACTAAACCTACTACTCAGGCAGCAAATGCAAAGAAGGCAGTTTACAGGTCAAAATAGGCTTATCCTGAGATAAGCAAAGCGAATGTGATTTACTTAGTGTTCCGACTCTTCTGCCTGTGCATTACAGCACCTTTTTTACTTGTGAATTGCTTTATGTATTGCAGTGAGAGGCTAACTGCTGGATCTAAGCTGGATAATTTATATCCAGAACAAGAGCAAATAACTATACCTGCTTCTAATTTTGTGCTTATGAGTCCATTTACTTAAGAAAGTGCAAGAAACAAAGTAAAACTATGTAATTGCCAAGCAAACTATTAGAGACCATACTGGCAACTGCACACAACTAAACAGACAGTGGCTCTTCTATTTTCAAAATTGATTAGGATTTCATAGGCACTATAATAAAACAAATCAGTCAGGTCTCAGCAGTAACCATAAGATAGCTATGATAAGCCAAAATCCAGTTAGTTAATGTGCAATTGCGAAACATAAAAGAAAAGTGAAAGAGATTTACAGTGAAAATTAAATGCCTTAGCCGTTTAGGAAGTGCTGTAGTTACTCAGAAATTCTCGCTGATGCCATTTAACTGTAGATTGACTGCTTTCTTTTCTACCGTACTGCAAATGGCTAAGAAAACTGCCAGTGGACAGCCTCTTTCAAGTACTCAATACAGACAGTTGAAGATTGCTGTGTAAGGTTAAGCAAGTCTGATGAAATCAGGGACTGACATGTATTTTGTTTTTTTATATGAATGAAGCCTTCTTCCCCTTCTGCAGCGTCAGAAACATCCTGGTTGTAACAGAGTATTTCTTCCTTGTTCTCAGTTTAGGACTTAAGGCACCATATTACAGCACGAGTCTACCAAAAGTCTCCTTCCAGACCCCATTACTGTAGCTCAACCCCCACCTGCATATTACTGGCTAAAGGATCTGGGCAATAGACTGCCTTGGTTGGGCTTAGAAGTGTTGCCAGCCTGAAGACGTTATATTTTTACATATTGAAGAGTCAGGCAGCTAATGCCTCTGTTTTGGAATGAAGTTTGAACAGTAAGAAGAAAGCTAGTAAGGGCTGTGCATCAGCAACCTTACATTTTGTTATTGGTTTAAATGGCAGATTTATGTAGTTTGCAATATAAACTACTGAAACAAGCACATTCACTAAAGCAGATTGTTTTCATGCAGCAGTCTATGCTGACTGATGGTTAGCCAAATGTTTTGTATCTTGCCAAGACCAATAGTATTTCCGTTAGAAAACACGGCACATTCAGTCATTAAGATTAACATCGCAGCACTATCTTAAGGAGGTAATGAATTACAATCTAACATCAGTTGTTCTATTTTTTTCTTTTTTTTTTTAATTGCCTGGTTTTGCTGTCAGTCATTGATTCTTCTTCAGCAGATAAATTAAGAGTTCCCTTGTGTCTTTAGATTTAGTTCTCTCATTATTTTAAAATCTGAATTAATTTGCAAGATGCTGAATAAAAATCTTTTAGTTCTTCTTCCTTATTAAAATGCTGTCCTTCCGTTTCTACAGTACAGCTCTTCCTTCTGCATGTGTACAGTCCCAGTTAAAACTGTCTTGCGTGTCTACAGGCAGATTCTGTCTCTGACTTAACTATATGCCTAGATGAACTTGCTCTTATTTGATGTGAATCATCTCTGTGCTTTTACTAAATTGCTTGCAGTTCCTGCATCTCTGGACGTGAGGCATGTTTGTTTCCTGTGTTAGTTTCACATGAACAAAATCCTAGATGCTGCACAGTTCCAAAGGCTTAAATGGGTATACAAAGAAAGAACTCGGATTCGAAGGGTCATCTTAGTTCAGAATCAGATCCCTGGTGCTCCAGACAACTATGCCATATAAACATTTTGTTAATTTTACCTAGAAACCTTTTAAGATTCATGCTCTTCTCTCAGTGAGGTTTATTATGAAGCTGTCCTAGGGCTTTGCTCCTTTGGCTGGAAACTTAGGTTTCACAGCCAGATTTTTAATAGCGGTAAGTCAGTCTAGATATCTATTTCTTCCTAATGTCCTTTAACACAAATATTAAACCCCACCCTCTTAACCCTCCCATCAGGTGTTTTAGATCCCGATTTTCTCCCCTTTATGTTTTCTTTTCCTTTTTGGTAACCCGGTTGGTTCTTATATATTCCAGTTCTCTAAGCGCTGTACTAGTAGCAGTAATTCTCCTTTAGCGAGTTCCCCACTTGCTTTGCAGTTCTTTGCTGTAAGCCTTGCTTTAGCGACTGACAAATTTACCATACTTGGTTTATTTCAAATCATAGGTTTGCGTGGCAGTAAATCTACTTCCCGTTTCTCTTTCTGTCCTTTCAAAGACTGGGTTTGTACATAAAAAAGTTACATTTTCCCCCTCTCTAGGCTCATGAAGCAGTGATTAGAGGACACTATCCTGCTCCAGAAGAAACCCTCCAGGTCCTTGCAGCTTTGCGTCTTCAGTACCTTCAAGGAGATTACACTCTGCATACCACCATACCAGAAATGGAGGAAGTCTACCCCTTGCAAAAGCTGAAGTCTCGGATTACACAGTCTACCAAAACCTTTACTGCAGCGGAGAAGGCTGAGAAGAAGCGAGCCAGCTTTCTCGAAGGAACGCTGAGGAGGAGTTTCCGCAGTGGCTCTATCAGCAAACAGAAGGTTGAGGAGGATCAGATGTTAGACATGTGGGTCAAAGAGGAAGTCTCAGCTTCCAGGACTAGTATTATTGACAAATGGAAAAAACTGCAGAGAATGAACCAGGAGCAGGCTATGGCAAAGTATATGGCTTTGATTAAGGAATGGCCTGGCTATGGGTCAACGCTGTTTGATGTAGAGGTAAGGCTTCCTCAACATTCACATCATAGTTTATACTGCCACAGCTGGTGGTTACATTAGAGAGTAGTTTCCTAAATACCGTATCACAGTGCTCATTCTGAGAACTGATGTGATTAAATGTTACATACTAAAACATATTCCAGTTAGCATACACTGTGGCCGTTTAACCCCCTAAAATTCAGAGGAACTGAATACTAGCCGTATGGGTTGCATAAAAGTTTGAGAGAGGTGTAAAGGCTATGTTCAAAGATGGACAAGCAACCTATACTTTTTTCTTATTTAAATAAGTACAGAAAAATTACCTCAGCAGTAAGTGTTGTGCAGCTCACCCAGTTCCATTTGTTGTTAATTCACATCCTTTTCTCTAGTGTAAAGAAGGGGGTTTTCCACAAGAATTGTGGCTTGGAGTCAGCGCTGATGCAGTCTCTGTCTACAAGCGCGGGGAAGGAAGACCTTTAGAGGTGTTTCAGTATGAGCATATCTTGTCCTTTGGTGCTCCGCTTGCCAACACCTACAAGATTGTGGTGGATGAGAGAGAACTACTTTTTGAAACTAGTGAGGTAAGAGAAAGAAGGAATTTTGTTGATAGTGTTATCTTCCTGTGCTGATGGCAAGGCTACTTTTAATTAAAGAAATAGCTGCAAATTGCAGTTATTGCAGTTTGTAACGTTCTCACAAACATACTTGAGACCACTGCAAAGCTAAAGAGAAGAGGTAGTAAGATGGACAGAAGTTTTGAGTATTTGCATTTGTTATACTCTAAGGGCTTTTCTTGAAACCTTGACAGTTTTATACTGTGGTTGTGTAAAGAAATTCATTTGCATGCTGTTACCTTACTAAGGTCTCAGGGCTCGTTGTACTCTTTTTGCAGGTGGTTGACATTGCAAAGCTGATGAAAGCCTATATCAGTATGATTGTGAAAAAGCGCTACAGCACCTCTCGATCAGTGAGTAGTCATGGAAGTCAAGGCAGCTGCAGGTGAAAACAAAACCAGTTCTACTGTGCTCTAAATAGAACTTATCACTGCTTCGCCTCAAAATGACCTGATGATACTGATCACGTTTGTTAACAAGCTAACCAAGAACCAGAATTTCCAAGGAAAATACCTTCAAACCTTGTTTTAAAAAGACCACAGGGTGGGGGGTGGGAAGGAAATCAGCTGGAATACTCACATACTAGAACTGCTGGCTCTTTCAAAAATTCCAAAGCGTTATCATCTTCAGTTTATGCAACAAATGCCTTAAGACTTGACCCACTGCAATACAAGCAGTAAAAGTGCCTTACAACATTAAAACCAACTTGTATTAACTTAAAATTGCTGATTAAAAATTAAGACTTTTTCCCCCAATCAAAACACTGAGAACAAAGTTCATCCATTCTGCACTAACCTACTGCCCTGCATACATGTGGGAACGGGGGAGGGAAGAAGAGGGAGGTATATTTTTGGGGAGCTGCTGGCAGCCTTCCTTACAGATGCCAACATTTTGTTTCCCCTTGCTTCCATGGATATGCACATTACGTGTGCATATTTGAGCTGACAGAAAATTGTGACTAATTTTGTTCTGTGTTTCACAAGTCTTTTGAAGCAAAGGGAATAAGTATGTGCAATGGTGTAAACAGTCTTTCTGTACATTTTAATAGTTCAGAGGTATAGTTGTTACAATTGTATGGTTACTTTATAAGCAGTTTTATTAACAAGTAAATTCCAAAATTTTCATACATTGATTTACTATTGCAAATATGTATTACCATATATGTAGCAGAAGTCTGCATTCTGTACCTGCTGTACTATAAAGAGAGATGTAGCTGAGAATATTTATAGATTACCCTAATATGGAAATGCAATTATCGGTTCAATATTCCATAATGTCAGCTTAAGTTTTTAATATTAAAATTTTCTTTTAAAAAGACACTATTCTTGTAGAATTCTGGCTGGACTCTCCAACCCAAAGTGCCTGGAAAGGGTCAGTGCCCTTCAGAGTTGACTAGAGAATGCACGGTTACACAGTCAAACTGCTTTATTATAGCGCTGTCTTTTACCTGGTTGCCTAATGAAGGTTCTTGACACCTGTAAATAACTTGGGAGATGTCAGCTAATAATAAGCTGATTTTGGACTTTTGTTTTTGTACAGAAATATTGTAAGAAGATAAAGCAAAACTTCGATCAAAGGTATTTTTTTGTCCACAAGAGGGAAAAAAAAACACACATACACAAACCCCAAAACCTTACTGTTACTAAAAAACTAAGCCTTTAAAGAATCGTGCCTACTTACTCAGAGAAAGTTCAGCAATAAAGAAAGTATCATATGTAATATGATTTGTTTCCCTTTTATACTGACTTAGACTTCCAGCACAGTTCTGATTTCTCAGGAGCCAAGACAGGAACACAGCATAAGCTGTATATGCTTTTGCTTGGAAAGGTGCATGTGCTTTATGCAGTAATGGGGAAGTTTCAGTCTGCATTCAGAATGATTTACTTGATAATGTGATGTGTGTCAATAACACCAAACCAATGCAAGGGAAGAATTACTGAGTCCCCTCAAGCAACGTGTTAGTAAAGCTTTTGCTATTTGTGCATCCCTGATGTAACTGCTTGAACAGCCCTGATGGTCTTTACTAGCCATATGCATTATATTATTGCAGCACAGACTGCCCTCATAAGTGCACGAAGCCTTCATAGGCTGTAGTGCTTGCGATGAATAATCCTCATAGCAAATGCATTTATTCACTCAAGCCCCTCAGTGAAGCTGCCCCTCAGTCCCTAAGGCTTTCTAAAGAATGTCATTCATTTTTTTTTTCCGCATTTCATGTTTTTCCCCCCTCTCTGAAGGTGAACTCCTTCAAGGAAGAAAAGGACATAGAACTACATTGTTTCTGTAACTCCAGTGTATATAATATACATGTATGGTATCTCTGACCATAACCATTCTGATTTTTTCTATATATAAGTTGTTTAGAAAGAGCTTGATTGCTTTTAGCAAGGCATCCTTGGAATGACACTACGTACACATTCAAGTCAATGCAGCAAAGCTGGGTTTTGTCTGAGTGCTGTTCATAGACATGCTCAGAGAAGTCCCTGCCACAAAGTCATCATTAATTGGTCAAAAAAAAAAAAAAGGAATATAAGGTGATAGTCTTGTTCAAGGTCACACCCTCAGAAGCTGAAGCCCCATCTCTGGTCCCGTTTCATTGACCTCCTAATTAACTTGTGAATGCTACCAACGATTAGGAGGTATGTTCACTCTTAGCCAATACACAAAACAGTCTGCCACTATGTCTAAGAATTAGCATGAATGAAGAGAAACTCTGCTGACTTGCCACACAGCTCATTTCAAATACTGCTGCTGAGGTAAATAAAAGCTTTCATAATTGCTGATACTCATAAGGAAGAAGACACAATTTATCAAAATTAATATTGGCTAACATGTAAACCTGGGCTCGTGGCTGCCACAAGTTGAGCCCATCAGAAATCACAAAGTACAGAATATTAAGATGTTTAAGGATACTAGGACAAACACAGTGCCTCATCCAATTACAGCAGAGAGAAGGATAATTTTACTATTTTGTGATTTTCAGAATTTGAAACGCTCCTGTTCTCCGAGAGCGTTAAGGCCGGCGGTTCCTGTTCCCTTTCCCACCTCCCAGCCCGAAGCAGACCCTGCCTGCGCCGCTCCGGGCCGCGTCCCGCCGCCTGGCGGCGCCCCCTGGCGTACTGACTGTACCTGCTCCATGTAATCACGGTGAGAGAGGACCCGCGACCCCACCAGACAGATATGCTACTACAGCCCCTCGCAGGCAGAAAACTATTCAATTAAGGCTAGCAATCGGCCCTGGTTAGCTGCAAAATAATGCAGCAGCCACAAGGGAAATAGGCTTCTATAGCATCTTACCCAGTACCCAAATCCCTTAAAAGCCGGCCATTTGTAAGGGTGCCAGAATTTTTAATAATTATACAAGTTATGCACAGGAAATTGCTTCACCTGGAAAGTATTGCATCAGGACCTAGGTTTCAAGACCCACATTTCTGAGCCGTGTAGTTAAAACACGTACACGCAGGTTCATACCAGTACAAACCCCTAACACAGACATGCTACAGAACCACAAAATCACGCTGGCATATGTCCATCTTACAGCAATCCAGACAGAACAACGGCCACTTCTCAGATGCAGACGCTAGTTCTCATAGCACGCGCACCTTTATCATTTATCATTTACAGCTCTGCAAAGTAAATAGAGAAGACTACCAAGCAAGGATAACAGCGCTGTCTTGAATACATGTAATACTGGAAAGTGCCCAGCACTGGAAATCCACTACATGCAGAAAGAAGATGAATTCCTCTCTTCATTCCTTCTGTCCGCCACACGCGGTTAGGAGAAGGAGTTACACTCAGGCTCTCAGGCATGCCAACATCCAATCCATCTCTAGCTTTGGCCAATCACTAATACTTCAGGAGAAAGTGAAAAATAAATTAAGCATCGAAGGGTTTGGAAACGGGGATGACACAAAAAGGATCAGTCAGACTTCACAGGCCAACGTCGCAAGTTTTTAACTGGACAGTCACCTCTTTTTTATTAATACATTTTGTATGAGGTTGAAGACAGAGGGGGTGTTTTGTTTTATTTAGACTGTTGCCCACATTACCCTGTTTAGAAGACTGTTCCTGAAGTCCTCTGTAGACAGACCTATGTTTTCAAAATTTCTTATCTAAAGTTGATTCATGACTAAAGTATTTGTTCCTGTTCCAGCACAGTATTTCTAGTTTAAGGGTTTTTTTCCCCCGTGTATATATTTTTATCCACTCCTCCCTAATACATTCCAATTAGTATTTGCATCATCTTCCAGGCTTCATTTTGCAAGGTTACTCAAACTAAGACTTTTTTTTTATTTAAATAAACTTGTATCAAAAGTAAGTTCTCTGTAATCAGCCTCATATCCCCTTTTGGCATCTATTACAATTCAGGTTCTTTGAAAAAAAAAGTTGATTAGAACTGTATAGTGTTCTAAGCACCTTACCATTGCTTTACACAACAGTACTAATACTCTTACCTACGGAAAGTTCTTTGCCTGCATCTTATAATCTCTCTCTCTTATAGTCTTATTCACAGTGACATCCCTTTAATTCTTCATGGGTATTCTAGACTGATAAAGATGTTGTAGGGGAAAAGGGCCAAATGTAATCAATCGGTAAGACTTAAGTTTATACCGGTTTATTTTTAAAATTATTTCCCAGGTATATGACTTCATTCTGCATTATTACATCTCATTTCTCTTACTACTGTACATAAGATTATCCAGTCCTCCTTTTATGATTATCCTACCTAATTTTACTTCATCCACATGAAAACACTGTTCTTACAGTCAGGTCACTAATGAAAACATCTAAAAAAAGATCTGCAGCCAATCGCTGAAAACGCAATTATTAACTTTAGGGATTTGTATTAGGAGGATCCCTAAAAATTCCCCATTTACTACCTTCTCACCTTTACCACCTTTACTTTCCTTCTTATTTTTGTAAAAATGTCCACCTCCTGTATCTTAAAATAGCAATTCTCAAACTGTTTAGATCACAGTCCCTTTTTTCCTAAGGCTTTGGGAGGACATTTCCCTAACGTTTTTCCTACATATGCTCTCAGAAAGTATTTCCCCACCCATGCTACCACACTACTTAATCACTTCTGGGTACACTGCCCCAATCCAGTTTTCTCTAGCTGGGCATTACCTTAGAGTCCCCTCCTCAAAAGGAGTTTGTCAGTTTGCTAAACCCAGCATCCCACCCAACTGTCCTTTCCACAGACTGTCATTGGTGGAGCGGCACTTTTTCTTGTCTTTCTGCCTTTAACTGTCGAGTGAAATATTACCTATTTGCTACTATCCCTCCCCGGTGCAGCAGAGCACACAGATAGAGCCACTGTCCTCATGCAGCTTTAGCCATGCAGATTTTGTAGCAGTCTCCTTGACGGTAACTGGGGGTGCAGTTCTGACTACTTACACAACAAGCATACTCTCTCCACTCCCACTTGCCCCAATTTTGTGTCCCATTCTTTTTCCCAGTTTAAGAGCCTTGATCTCTTGAACTGAAGTTTTTAACAAATACTGTTTCAAATGCCCAGTCTTAATAGAATGGAACCACCACATAGCCCCTATCTAAACACATAAAGTAAACCTAATGCATACAAATACTTTTGTATCCCCAGTATTTAAGACATTGTATGGGTTGACCACAATACTAATGTATTGGCTTAGGTTACTCTCCCTACAAATAAAATGTATGAATTTGCTGGTTGCCAATGATTTTGATTCTTCCTTGCTACTGACAACTTCCATATAAACACACCTGCTCATAAATTCTGAATGACTGATAGATTTAGAAAGGTTGCTGGCTGCTGGGCTTGCTCTCAGGCAAAGCTGACCCGAGAATGGAGTTAAACCGATAAAGTCATAGACTCTCTACCACACATAGTCAAATGCTATATAAGAGATTACAGTAATTAGGTCCAGAATTAGATCCATGAAGATCTATTAATCTTACTAATCTTTCACATGGCATGATTAAATAGACAAGAACAGCAACCCATCACATTTTTGGTACTGAACAACACCTAGAAATTGTTGCGTGAGTATTTCATATTACATGACTGTTATACAGTTCCTGGACTAAAAACATATGCCATGAGTGGTTTCTTAGCTGGCTTAAGCATAGCTGTTGAGCCTGTCAGTACATACTTTCTTCTGCAAATGCCTGTGTCTCAGATCCTAGACAATTACATCAGAGATATCTTGATTTCTTGTTTAGGGTAAAGTTGATCTGTCTTTATTATCCAAGCAACCAAAATGTAGCTCAAAATATAGAAATGCATATGATCATCTAGCTCAGTTCCTGGATTCAGAAAAGAACAATGCTGCATTTGAGAAGATAACATTTGTTATTGTTCCCACACACGCTACCCATAAAAAAAGGATATCTGATGCAGAGATATCACAGTATCCCGATTGTGTTCTCTATCACAGAAAAACCTGAAGCAAAACTGAACAACAAGCATGACTCTTCCATACTGTTGGGTTTTATTGTTAAAGCTTTGAGTTCACAGGCATTAAAAAGAAGCATAACCTAGTGGAGGGGGAAAAAAAACCACACAGATAATAACATTTCTGTATAAGAAGCAACATCAACATTCATAGAATTTCATCAAGAAGTCTACAGCTGCTGCAAACTTTATCTAAAGGATTTTTTCATTTAATAAGATCCGCAATTGAAATATTTCTAGTCATCACAATTAGCAACAGCTGTTGACAGAGATAACAAGTTTTCTT